ATATCCCGATGATAATAAACTTACCATGTTATACAGGGTGTCCACAAATTTAAACTAATCAAATAAGAACTTTAAGTGGCTCTAACTTGATTAATTTAAACGCAACCCTATATTTTTTAACTTACCAGGAAATGCAATTTTTAATTACCTATCGAATGGTATTAGGATGTTAATAGCTAAGTTTTTGCCTTTTACAAAATACGTCAAATAGCCGTTCTGTGCACCATTTGGTGTTGTTTAATTTAAGGTTCCAATGGATATAAGTTGCCTATGCCATTTACACATGTCAAATCATTTACTTTATTTTTCAGTTTAGACTGCAAAGTCTCTTTTTGATAGCTAGAGTGGTATTGTTTTTTGTAATTGTAGACGAGTTGGTCGTTATTTCAATATTATTATTGTGTTGCTAAGTGAAAATGAAGAATTATCCAAGAGAAGAGCGTATTGACATGATTTTCACCCTTGGAGAATGTCATAAAAATTGTATATTGGCTTCTCGAGTTTATGCTCAAAAGTTTCCTGAAAGAAATCATCCTAAGCCAACAGTTTTTAAGCGTTTATTACACCAATTTGAGGAAACTGGGAGTGTCAATTATAAAAAACCCATTACAAGGAAATCTGTCACTGAAAATGAAGAAAATGTTTTCACGATAATCGGTTCACTTATCGAAAATCCCAATCTTAGTCAAAATCTAATATCCAAAAGTACTAACATTAGTCAATCAAGTATTTCCCGAATTATCAAAAAGCAGAACTTTTATCCTTATAAAATTCAGCTTTGCCAAGAACTTGATGGAAACGACTTTGAGAACCGAAGCCGAAACTGAGTTTTGCATGTGTTAGAAAAAGTGGCAGAAAATGAAAAGTTTTTCGAAAATGTGTTATTTAGTGATGAATGTACTTTTCATAACAATGGTCTCGTGAATAGACACAACTTTCATTATTATTCTGATACGAATCCACGCGCATACCGGATCATGAAAAATCAAAATAGGTGGCCAGTTAATGTGTGGGGTGGAATACTGGGCCAATATTTAATTGGACCCTATTTTTGTGAAGGACATCTAAATGGTTTGATGTTTCTCCAGTTTCTAATAAACCATCTCTCAATATGATTAGAAAGAGGAAGTCCCTTTTAATATTAGAACCAACATGTGGCTTCAATTGGATGGAGCTCCGCCTCATTAACACTGCGAAGTTCGGCAATTTTTAAGTGTCAACTTTCAAAACAGGTGGATTGGCAGAAATGGGTTTCAAAATTGGCCTCCCAGATCTCCGGACTTAACTCCACTAGATTTCTTTTTGTGGGGGTACATAAAAGGAATTATCTACCATACGCTTCCGACAACTTCACACGATATGAAAACACGCATAAGAGACGCTTTTAAAACTGTAACTCCGCAAATGTTGTCCAGAGTTAGCAGTGGTTTTGAAAAAATAATTTACAAGTGCCTGGAAATGGACGGTCAACATTTCGAACATTTGTTATAGATAATTTGCCTTTGTATTATGTTATGGTTGATATGTTATTTAACCTTTTAATTTAAAAAAACAGCAAATGGTGCACAGAACCATTATTTGGTTTATTTTGTAAAAAGGCAAAAATTTAGTTATCAACATCCAAGTACCATTCGATAGGTAATTAAAAATTGCATTTCCTGGTAAGCTAAAAAATATGGGGTTGTATTTAAACTAATCAAGTTATAGCCATATGATTTCTTGTTACACCACACTACGAATTACGTTTACATAACTTAAATAATTCGCAAGTATTTGACACATGAAAATAATATTATATTTTGATTAAATTCGAATTATTTAAAAAACCTTTAGAATTAGGCATTATAAATCGTATTAAAACAAACACTTATTTTGCTCAGAGAATCCAACTGTATAGGGTATTTCATTATTTCATTAGGTAATATATAGGGTATTTCATTTAGAAAAACACAACTTTGATACTTTTGGGACTTTTGGGACACTCTGTACATTACAAAAATATTTTTAAAATGTGCACCCGATAGGCGTTTGTGGATTCATCAAATAATACTTTGCAAAAAACAAACGGGCTAGGCGCAAACGTCCGTGCCGTATAGCGTGAATAACCCTGTATATATATTATATCGGCTAAATGAAACGCTACCTACGAGTCGTCTTTCTGCAATTCTAAAGGAGGCGTTTGCACGCTAGCCCCTTGGTTGAGGGGGTCGAATGGCTTACTGCCTCCTGAAGTGTATCCAGCCCCCCTAACGGCTGTCATGGGCCTGCTGACCCCATCCAGGCTAGTGGGGGGCCTGAATCCAGTAAGCGGCTTTCCAGAACCGGGCTTTTTAAAATTGGTCGTCGGAACGAACCCAGTCCCGGCCCTGCTATACCCTGTTCTCGGTTTATACGGAGTCTTCGGCACTGCGGATGGCTGTCGCCGAAACTGCAATCGGTGGTAAATAATGCACCATCTGACCAAAAGTCGCCTGTTTGTATCAATTCATACCTCTGTGGATGATCCAATATGAAGGACTGGTTTCGGGGTGGTCAGTCGCAGGTCGTTCTTAAATTTTAGCGCTTTATCCAGATCGGTGTTTGGCATGTCGTTTGGCAATTCGCTGCTTTCCAGTGACTTTGAAAGGTCCAGAATGTCTGCGGATGCCATTGTTGTGCACTTTCAAGCGACCCCAGCACAAACAGTTTCGATTTTCTCCCTCGATACAAACAATGCGTTGCTTGGGTTCGAGCGCATGCCATCGGAAATCGCAAACAATTCGGGTTTCCAATTTTTTAATATTATTGAAGAACTGCAGTTATACAGGGTGTTCCATAAATATGTTGAAATATTTGAACAACGTGTTCTCCTAGTCATTTTAGAGGGGTCTTCCTGACAATTTTTTAATTTGAGGTATCATATTTGATCTCCAAAATGGCGAAAAATATTAGTTTTTGCTGTTTTTCTTTAAAACGGTTAAACATAAAAACTTAAGTTGTAGTTAGGTTCTATATTGTTGAGGCGGACTCATTTTTTTTACAAACTTCTTTTTGGGTAATTCGTCTACAAAAATTGTTGTCTTTAAAAAAGACAGAATTTCCACACGTCTTTTATTACAG